TCTTACCTCTCAGATCTAAGCGCACAGAGAACAGAAGATCCTATTTCGTTTATTGTTGCATCCTCAGTGCCTATCACACTGTAAATGCCAGTAAATATAAGATCAGTGGAAGAATGAATATGCAACTGGATATTTCAAATCTGAGCTCAATTCATGAAACTTAATTAGCAGAAGAGATCCAGAAAGCATTCTGATTCCCACAGAAGTCTCAATGACTGCAAAAGTCAGAGTCATATCTCCAAAACAAATGACAGCCTCTGATTTCATCATTTACTGGGCTCTCTCTACATTCAAGGAGAATTGGGAGAGGGAATCTCTTCCTTTCCCAGTCCACCCTGTACATATCAGGCAGAGGACTGGCCTTTCACAGTCAAGTCCTTTAGGATTCCCCCTTGTTAATTTGTTCGGGTTGCTCAAATTTTAATTTTGATTCCCTGTATGCAGAAGCTGGGCGCTGGGGGTGTGGAGAGATTTGTTTCCCAAGTTGTGAACCTTTCTTTCTCCGTTCAATAGGGAGAAAGACAAAGGAGGTAGGTTTTCTACGCTGACTCCAGTATAAGGACATCTGAACCTCACATTTACTCTTGGAAATAGCTCTCCTCCCACTGTGTAACACTTAGCCTCAAACACTGGCTGGCCAGCATGCACTTATTCCCCAGGGACCTCTGTTCCAAGGAAAAGGGCCAGAGGCAAAAATGGACAGTGAAATAAATCAAATCAGAGGCCTTTCTCTGACGACCCAAGGTCCTTGAGAAAACTCTTCTCACTTCACCCCAACAAACCCCTTCTTCCCCCAAAATTTCTAATGAGTTCCCTGCCTAAATTTCTATCTGCTCTTCTGTGGCTGGAAAAATGAAAAAACACCAAGATATTTGTTTCAAAGAGATGAGAAGTGAAGCCAAAGCTGTTCAAGATAACACATGCCACTGGAAAGCCAATCAGTCTCAAAAACCAAGAGAGAGCCAGCAGAAGAAAAGATCCAGGCCAAATCCACAGCATCCTGCTTAAGATCATACCATCCATCACTGTAATTTGCAATGACTAAGTGCTGCTGTGTGCTGGGATGACAAAGGAGACTCTCCAAGAGAGGGACTTTGGCGGCTCAGTGACAGAGCTGCAGGAGCACCAGAGTGGTGGTGCTAGGCCTGAGGCAGTCGCTCTCCCAAAGAGTGTCTCAAGCACAAGGCAGGCAGAAGAGCCCCACCCCCAAGATGGCCATCTCCTGGGCCCCAGAACCTCAAGTATGGAAAAAGGAAGCATGGCTCAGAAAGCAGAGCCATGAGAACACAGGCCAAAGGGACCTTATGGATGTGATCAAGATTAAGGATGTGGAGATGGGAGATTACCCTGGATTATCCAAGTGGGACCAACTAATCACATACACCCCTAACAGTGAAGTGGAAGGCAGAAGAGGGGGTCAGAGAAATGGGACATGATACAGGCTGATTCCCTGTTGTTGGCTTGAAGATGGAGGCAGGGAGCTAAGAGCCAAGGAAGGTGCAGCCTCCAGAGGCAGAGAATGGCCCTGTGTTTACAGCCAGCAAGAAAACAGTGACCTTGGGCCTGCAACCACAGGAAGTAAATTCTGCCAGCAATTCAGAGAAGTGGGAAACTGATTTTCCCTTAGTATCTCCTGAAAGAAAAGCAGCCTGATGACACCTTGATTTTATTCTTGTGATACTCATACTGGACTCTGAGCTACAGAACCATAACTGAGTTTAAAAATGTTTAAAACTGCTATCTTGAAACCATAGTAAGTTGTTACAGCTCCATTAGAAAACAAACATACAGTGCGATCCTGGGCAAATCATTCTTTCTGACTGAACCTCAGTTTTGTAGTCAAGTCATTTGAAAGGAATGGACAAGTTGATTTCTAAGAGTCTGGCTCCCTTTGGAAGACTGACCACTCCTGACATGCACCTCCCTCCTGGCCCCGTTCCCAGTTCCAGGATGGACATGAGCTGAAGGCCATTAAAGAAAGAACAGAAAAGAGTAAAAGAAAAAAATAATCTTCAAAAAGCCTCTGAGGTATTGTCTAAGATACCACCTAAGGGCACTAAGCAGAAACCACTTGTTACTTCCTTGACTATACCCCAGAGGAATGAAGTAGGAGGTCTGGGAGATAGAGAAGAAAGCTCCAGGACCAATCAGTACTGGCTGCTCAGAGCACTGAGTTAAGGATTCCCCAGCCTTGTGAATGTCAGATGTCAGTCTGGGGCAAGGACCAGGACTAGTGACATGTGTGCCAGATACTTGTCATCATTAATTGCAAAATTTGGGAAAACCAGGGTAGTTTTCTCTGTCTCTCCTTCTCCCTCCTCTATTTCATTCTCCCTGAACCTATGTAGTGAGTCATCAGCAAGTCACACATCCAATCATCGAATCAGAGCCCCAAAATAAGAAAGCTACAGGTATACACAGTCAAGCAAATTTTTTTTGATACTGAGAATTGAACCCAGGGCCTTACAGGTTGAGAAGTGCTCCACCACTGATCACATCCTTGAACCTTTTTAACATTTTGAGACAGGCTCTCACTAAGTTATGCAGGCTGGCCTGAAGTTGTGACATTCCTGGCCTCAGCCTCCTGAGCAGCTGGGATTGCAAGCATGAGCCACCACACCCAGCTTCTGTATACAACAAAGCAATTTAAAGTACACAGTTTGAATCGGGCCTGCTGTTGTTTAATATGCTAGGTAACTCTTAATTATGACCTGACCACCTTTCTGTATACCCAGTGCTTAACCTCTACCACTCTATTCTCTCTTGAGATTCACCTTCTGTCTCCCTACTGAGCTAAAAGGAGACTTGAGTCCCTAGTAATCCACTAGCATACTGGCTTTCAACGTCTCACCTGACTTCCCCCACATCATCCTGCCAGTCAGTTACAGAAGCAAGATCTGAAACCTGGTTCCCCCAAAGTCCAATGATATTCACCACCAGAATAGACACTGCAGTCAGCCTACCTGGGTGACTACACCTACACCTCACTTTGCCACTTCCTGTGATTAGGGGTGTGTCACTTTCTCTCTCTGGAGCTGTTTTCTCATATACTGTATTAAATGGAGAGAATGATGGTCCCTCTCTAACAAGACCATATTACAGACTAAATTAATGAATACATGCAAAATGGCCCACAGTGCACACTGAATTGTGTCCAGTAGGATCATTATTCCGTTATTCAGCGTACCTGGCCAGTCTGGGTAGAGGGCTGCAGGGTGTGGTGATGTCAACATTCCTATAAACTATGGATGGGAATGCCTGGATCTATCTTTGCACTGCCAATAGTGACAATGTAATATCAACCAAAATAAAAATCCCCTTTCCTTGGAGATACTTCCTTCATCTGTACATTTTAATCCATAGAGAAGAGGCAGAAACACATTTATAGGGAGGATCAGAATACAGGTAGGAAAGCATCTGAGGTTGTGACTGCCCCTTCATCTCTTTGTCTGTCACCCTGGGGCCCAGTATCTGACCCAACCACAGTCCCCAGAGTCTCGTTCTTGTTACGTGTCTCTGACACCTCACCACAGCTCTGTGGTTCTCCGACTCCATCAAAGAAGGGGAATTCCCAGACCTTTCATGCAATGAACCCCACAGCTCCAAGAGGTCAGTGCCTAGTCACCCCATCGTAATTTACACCCCCACGGTGGCCGGAAACAGGAGGCTCTGCTGGGAGAAACACTTCTGGCCTTTTGCGTTCTGAATGTAGAGATACACGCTGTCCTCAAGCTCAGCTGGGCTGTCTCTGCGTGTTCAGACAGTTGGTGAATGACTGAAACACCAATATCATGCCACCCACACACAAACACCCACTCTACTTCCTCACTTCACACACCGGAAGATGAGACCCAAATAGGGGAAATGCTTCAGTCACTATAACTCAGGACCTCCTGAGACCCCCAGGGAACTGTTCTTCCCACCCCCCTCCCACCCTAGCCCCAGTCAGGTACTCACAATCCCTCGGGACTATTTCCCCACTGCAGTGGCACCACACAGCACAGCAGATGGTCGAGGAATGACTGAGCAGCTTCCCGGGCGGCAGCCTGGCCCTTTGAGGAGTCTGGCATTCACGCTCTACACTCTAGAACCATTAGCCCTGGATGCCAGCAGGCTTCGTGCTAGTCAGGAAGAAATCACTGAGCCGTATGAACAGGAGTCCAGCCTGGTCACTCAATCAGAATAACAACTCCTGACAATTTCACAGGTTTTTATGGTTCCCCCCTTCCATCCTTTCACTCAGCACTTACTGAGCACTTTCTATTTGCCAAGCCTCGTGTGCCAAGTGCTGAAGTTGCCTCAGAGATAAGAATACAGTCGACAGGCAATCCCTACACTCCAGAAACTGGGACGCAAAAGAACCGGCAATTAGATACGTCTTAACTAAAGGAGCCGATGCCCGGAGGGGTGGGCGGGCCTCGGGAAAAAGTCCCTCTCCAGTTTTCACACATCCTTTCTCTTCGCGTTCTGTCCGCAAAGGATGTTTTCCCGCTTCACAGATGGAGACAACAAGGCTCAAAAAGACGACGGTGAAGCAGCTGGGACAAAACCAAGACTAGAATCCAACAGACTTGACTCCAAATTCCCCGCACCTTCTACGCAGGGCTCTGAGGAAAGGTATCCCGCAGTTCTGGGGCCGCCAAGACTCAAACCCAGCACAGCGCCCTGACCCCGGGCCCGGAGCCCAGAAGCACCGCCAGCCCGAGGAAAGGAGGGAGAGGGAACACCGGGTGAAGCCCGGCGGACAGCGGAGCTGGGGCGCACCCACCAAGCGCCGGCCTTCCGAGAGGCCCAAGGTTGTGTGGCTGGAACTTGGGCGCTGAGAGCCAAAGGAAAGGGAAGAGGGTCTGGAGAAAGAAAAGCAAAAGTGGAAAGGGGAAAATGAGGGAGGCGAGGGCGCGCTGGGAGCGCCCCGAAGCAGGGACGGCGCAGTGCTGGGTCGCGAGTCGCGAGACTCCCCTCAGCCAGAGCCCCACGACCGCACCGGTGGCCTCACTCACTCCGGCTCCGCGGTGCCGCCCTGGGAGCAGCAGGTCCGCCGAAGATCCGGCGCAGACACCACCCGGCGGCGCTTCCCCAGGTCTGCGGGCTCGCAGGGGATCCGGCCGCCGGAAGCAGCCCCACCGCGCCGGGAACGTGCCCGGCTCCTCCGGGCACGCGGGAGCGGCTGGAACCCGGGCTCGGCACCCCGCTCGGGCTCCGGGGCCTGGGGCTGCGCGGCCGCTAGGGACTCCTCCCGGCCGCCGCGCAGACCCTCTCCCTGGCCTCTCTCGCCGACTGCTGCGGAGAAAGGAACTTTCAGGAGAAAGAGACCCGGAGTCTCAGGTTCCCTTCCACCCGGGCGCGCACTCCCCCCTGTGGCCTTAAAGAAATAACTTCGTGCCTAGGGGGTCTCTGCTCTCTGGATTGTAAATCTAGAGGGTTGGCCTACCAGGATCCTTTCCAGTTTAGTTTGGACAGGAGAATGTCTAGCCAGTGAGCTTTGATAGAAGACTCAGACTTCCTGCTTTGGAGTGGGCCGAGTATAGAATCCTTAAGACGCTCTGCCTCTCTGTTCATTCCCTCCATAAAGCGAGGATAATAATGCCTTCCCCCAGCCCTCCTGGAGGACTGACTCAGAGGGCCAGGAGGACCAGTGTGAAACTGGTCGCTGTCTGCCTATAAGCCTGTTTATTTTGCTGTAACAGAGATCAAAAGCCCATTAGGATTCGATATCTGAGAGCCTTCCCAACCCCTCTTTGTTCGTGGCCCAGGTTCCACGCAGGACAGCGTCCACTCCCAGTTTCCTAACCGATCCACAGAAGGAGGAAGCATTCCCATCTTGTCTTGGCACCCACTCTTTTTAGCTCAGCGATAGGTTTTTCTCCAGTCTTACTCTTCTGAAAATGAGGGGCACAGGCCTTCACTACCAGCAGGACCTTAAAAAGTTCTGAAGCCCGGTTTGTTTCAGTTTTTCCTTCCTCCAGTGGATATAGTAAGCCCTGAACTAAACTACACGGTTTTCTCTGGCTCAGGGATGAGGTCAGCAAAAATGGCATCAAATCATCATCACCAGATGCCAGTTTTTTCAGGGAAGGCAGTGGGGATGAAGGGAATTGATATGAGACACGATCTGACAAAAATTCTAGGGGTTATTACTTAACTGCATGTTTTCACTCCAAAGAGAAAATGTAGGGCCTAAAAAAATAAGTACGACGCGATTCTGGGTACTGTAGTGTAAAGCTTTCATTTAGCAGGATAGAGCAAGTTAAAGGAGAACAATCTTCATTTAATACAAATAGCTCCCTGGTTAGGGGAAGGGATCAGGGGATCCTTTGGGTGGACAACTGGTAAGTGAATGTGTCCTGTATCAATGTTGGCTTCCCTCTGAGACAATATGAGAGGCCTGAGCCAGTATCTGTGATGCTTAGTCTACCTTTACCATTTGGCAGAGTATCAGTGTCTCTTTAATACTGATTTTGCCCTGAAACCCAAAAAGCAAGCCAAAAAGAAAGTTTGAATGCCCTAAAGGGAAGTATAGAGCATTGTCTGCTGCCTCAACTGGATTGATTTTGAATCATATCTACACAATACTTTTCTCACTTTTCATTTATGCAAGTATATTTATTAAGTTGAAGGGAATAATGTGACATTAACATCACAGTTTCCTCACTTGTAAAATAGTAACGTGAGAATTAGCCCTCCTGGATATTTCAAAGAACTAGGACTGGAAGTCTCATTTGACCCAACTATTCCCCTCCTGGGTATCTTCCCCAAAGAATTAAAAGAATCATACCACAATGATATATGTGTACCCATGTTTATAGCAGCACAGTTTGTAATTGCTAAAACTTGGAAACAGCCCAAGTGCCCATCAACTGGAAACTGGATAAAGAAAATGTGAGTTTTTTATAAAATGGAGTACTACTCAGCCATAAAGAATGAGAAACTAGAGACATTTATAGCTAAATGGATGCATATTGAGGCCATCCTCTTAAGTGAAATAAATAGGACACGTGTGTAAATACCGAATAGTTTCTCTAGTGTGAGAAACTGAAAGTGTAAATAAGGATTAAAATGATTAAAAGGAATAATTGATAATTTGAAATAGGAAGAAAAGGCCCAAAGGGCTAGGGGAGGTGGGAGGGGAAGGGAAAAGGAAAGAAGGGAAAGGAAAAATTATGAGAAAAGAAAAAAAAATGGAAAAGGAATCTATGTAAATAGGGAAGGGTGGAGGGGGTGAAGGGCGCACAGGTAATGGGGAAAAAATAAAGAACCAAGATGCATCATGTACAGGTACAAACACCCAATGAGAAATGTAAATGTATTGTATACCTAAAATGTACCAATAAAAGAATTTAAGAAAAAAAATTAGCCTCCTGTCTGATACAATTATGAATAAATATTTTATTCATGTATTTTCTTCATTCACATTTATCCATTGAGGGCCAGGGATTTAGTGTAGTGGTGCCGCTGCCTGCCTCACAAGGGCAAGGTCCTGAGTTCAATCCTTGGTACTAAAAAGAAAAAAATTAACCAATGAGTATCTCCTTCACATTCTAGGCACAAAGAGATAATTACTTTATTTATTGTGCTTACATCTAGGGAATTTAGATTAACTGCACTCTCCATGATAAAACACTTTCCATCACTCTATCCCATTATCTTATGTTTTTCATGGTTTCGTAAGCTGATATCATCTTGTTTTTTCTAAAAAAGCTAGAATACAAAAACATTGTGCACCAAACATAGTATGCATACACACATACTTTTGCCTCTTAATTTTATATGTTTTAAAGTGGACAAACCTTTGGGTTATATTCATGTCTGCTCCATTTTGCCACCTTAAGAAATGTCAAAGGGATGTGTGGCCATAGAAAGTTTTAGAGTGATTGCTTTTGACATTTTCTGATCAACTAAATGTTTTCTTATTCAAACCACCAGCTACTTGCCTAGAATTATCTCTGTGAGGAAATAGGAGGTAAGTACATTGGTTAAAGTTGTAATTTACATGGATCTTTGAGACTACACTAAGATTGAAATAGCAAAGAAACATAAATGAGTATGTATGATTACAAGTATGATTTGATATATCAAAGAAAAAAATAAGTTTGTCTAGAAATAAATGTGCCAGAATTTAAAAGATTAGTAAAAAACAAATTTTTAATGATCATGTTGTAGAAGCTTAAGGCAAAGAAAACTTTGTACTCTTTGCTTTATTATGCCTGCCAATAATAAGTTTGCAAAAAACTGAAATGTGTTAAAAATTTTACTAAATTGGCTTTGTTTTGTTTTTGTTTTGGGGGGGAATTTTTTGAGTCAGGGTCTCCCTTTGTAGTTCAGGCTGGCCCTGAACTCACTATGTAGCCCACAATGGCCTCGAACTTACAAACGATCCTCCTGCCTCAGCCTCACGAGTGCTGGGATTACAGGTGTGCGCCACCACGCCCTCCCAGCTTTAAATTGGCTTTGTTTTGATGGGTTTACTCATGACATCTTTTTAAAGGATTGGGAATTCTTTACTGTCAACTGTTACATTAATGTAAGAGAATAGTTTGGTTTTCTTTTTCTCTACATTAAAATGACAAACTAGTTGCAGAATATTTCACTTTGCTTTTCACAAGAAATAGTAAGTTATTTTCAACTTCTGTGTCATCTCCCCAAATAGAATATATTTAACCAGAATAATTTTTGTGCTTTGTACTGACTTTGTCATGTCCTTGATTACTTAAAAAAACAAAACAACAGCCAAAATACTTCATTTTGAAATACCTGAAGTTCCTTCTAATATTACCTTCAGTTGTGTTTACCTGGTAATAGCATGTCATTACTCTGTTTTAATAACAGCCAGACTATAACCATTCATTATTTCCAGGCATCTGTCTTGTGCTGGTGATAATTCTTTTCTGAAAATTATTTTTAATGTTACCTTACCAGGATCAATTCCAGAATTTAGAAAACTGTAATTTTGAATGTGTTTTTTACATACCAAATCATCTTTGGTGATTTGTAGATGGCTAAGGCTTAATATTTTAGTCTGTACCTTATAACACATAACAAATAATGTGTTATTCACAAACAAGAGGGATGCTAGTATCAATTAAGTATTTTGATGTGCTCCATATTTCTTAACTGGAATAATAAGAATTGCAATATATACTTAGCTTACAAAATAATACAGGCTGTACAAGAACAAAGTAAAGGTTATCTTTCCTATGTTACTTTTATTACAAATATAAATGCATAGGGACTGAGATTTAGCTCAGTGGTGCTGTGCCTGCTTTATAAGTGCAAAGTCGGGAGTTTGATCCCTGGTACCAGAAAAAAAAAAAGAAAAAAATATATATATATGCATACACACACATATATATGCTTCTTAATTGTAAAAATTAATGGATCTACAAAGTGGATTAAAGATCTAAATATCAAGACAGAAACACTAAACTTACTGGAAGATAAGTTAGGTAGAACTCTTGAAGACATTGGCATAGGAAAAGACTTTATGAACAAAACATCAGTAGCACAGGAACTAGCACAAAGAATCAACAACTGGGATCTCATCTTATTAAAAAGCTTCTGCACTGCAAGAGAAAC